ATGATCTGATTAGTCAACTAATCGAAAATAATAATCTGTGATTAATCGATTATAAAAACAATTGTTTGTGGCAGCCCTATCTGCCATAACAGCAATAATTATATTGGATATCGGCTGAAATGTTCAAATCGGTGCTTCACTAGTCCCATGAACTTTAACCTTGTTTCACACCTGAAGCTTGAAGCCACGTTACAAATTAAAATCAAACCATTATAATCAATCTGAAGCCGAACAGTCGACACACAGTCACATGATACATCTTTCACTGACACACACACACCATGCTGAGCTCCTGGGAAACCCCTCCCACTGCAACACATATGTTTTATCTCCATCCATCAGTTTTTCTCCATTGGACTCTCTTTATAAATGTCTGCTTCAAGGTCCAACAGTCGGACTCTGGAAGGGAGTAGTTGAAGCAAAATGCAGCGTCCAAGCTCATCCAGCGTAAACAAACACGCCCACCAACTTCTGACCAATCACACAAGAGTTTCTGATGTGGAGAGAGGGAAAGGTTGTGACAACAAGGGCTGGAAAACTGGAAGCTGCAAATGTAAAGACAATTTTCATCATGAAAGTATAACAGTGAGACGTGATTTCAGCTGGACCATGTGGAGGTCTGTACTTAGAAACATGATTTTAATGCAAAGATTAATCATCTCTTAAAGGTAGCAACACAAATATCTGCAGCTGTGTGTGAGCTAACGGTGGTGATCAGTTTGCTTTATGAAAGGAGTGACTGTTCCTGGAAAGTTTGTTTTCTCAGGGTGCCCTCGTCCTCTGGGTGTGGAGAAGTGAAACCCAGGTTTTAAACAGCACTGTGTGTGTGTGTGTGTGTGTGTGTGTGTGTGTGTGTGTGTGTGTGTGTGGGTGTGTGACTGTAGTGTGAAGCTCTTTGGAATTCATAGGGACATGATAAATCACTATATAAGTTCAAACTATTGCGCTGCAACAACACAAATGTCTGTTTAAATAAACTTTTATTAGCCATATTCTACATTATTTAAACATATAAACGTCTGAAAGAGAAAATCTTTGAACTGAAATTCAGACGTCTAGAAAAATGTTTCCCCTTTCATAGCAAATAAAGACCAGTTCTAGCTTAGACGACTATCTACATTTTAGACACCTTTACCAGAAAATGCTCAGTGAGTAACTTGTAGTTTTTCAGGGTCTGCTTGTATGATATCTGCATTTCTATCTTCCCAGCTGTCAGGGAGTGAGAGACTCTGGTGTCTGGTTACCATGGTGACTGCAGCTTTAACATTGATTCTGCTCTGGGTTCTCTTTACACTTTTTAAATAATTTACACAGCAAAGTGTTTGTATTCTTTCAGCTTAGATTATCACAAAAGTACGTTTCATTTATTGCTGGGCTTTATACAAGAAAGTTGGTGATTGTTGTCAGGCAGCTGCTGCTCTGGCATCTTCAACATTTTTTAAATATATTTTGCTTCTGTTTTACTGATCTGAACTCAGTAACTTATAAACTACATGTCTTTCCTTATCAGGCAAAGGGTTTAGAAGGAAAAAATGTGTTGCTTTCCTGAATTTAAGCCTGACCGAGTTTTTTTTATGCTTGAATTTTCAGAATCCATCGAAGACACCGGAGAAAAGGGTGAGAGATTTTCAGCTGCTTTGTTTCTCTTAGCGGGTGAGCAGAGGAGACTGAGCCGCTGGGATCAGCTTGTATCAGCTGAAAGTCTGATCTCTGACACGAACTCAGCTTTATTTTCAGCTTTTTTGTGTCCAGAGACATAAATTGAAATAAAATAAAGAAAGCCAACAATCTTTTACTTTTAGCCACGCCAGCCTTAGTTCTGATCAATTGGCTCAGACTGAATGGGCCAGACTGAAAAATCTGCACATTTTTTGTCATTGGATTACCAATGTTTACGCCAAGTAGGAAAACAAATCTGTGTTTTTTCCACTTGGCTTGTAATCTGGTCACTAGAGAAAGATTAAAATGTTAGCATTTTATTATGATTGTGCTTCTATTTTGAGAATATTTAGCACATTAGACACCTTCTCGTTATTAATTTTAATCCACTCTGTGGTAAAAAGGCAAAATGCAAACACAAGTTCACCAATCAAAATGATGCCACATGTTAAATAAGTTAATTTAGAATCAAAATTTGAAAATCATACATACAAACATAAAGCTTTTGTCTGACAGGACGGACCGTGAGTTTAGTCATCTCTGCATAACCAAATGTTAATAATAAACACTGTGTGCTGATAATTCACATAAACTTAAATGATATTCAGAGAAGATCCAAACTGTGAAGAAATGGTCAATCACAAACAGAACCTGATGTTCTATGTGTTCTTGTTTGCAGTGGTGTACCTGCTGGCATACCATGTTATTTTCATTATGTTTGTGTGGGCATACTGGCAAACCATCTTCACCAAGCCTCTGAACCCGCTGAAGGAGGTGAGTGTCTGCGAGGGACGCTGCGGGGAGGATGGCAGGAAGCAGACATCTACAATCCACATTTTATTCACGGAGAACAAAATAAACACATCAAAAGAAAGATTAATTGTACTATTTTTAGGATAAATAAGGAAAATTTAAAGGGGTGGGGGGTATTATGCAAAATTAACGTTTTTGTGCTTTATATCATTTTGTAATGTGATTCCCTTATCAAAAACATACCCAGAGTTTTATTTTTTTACAACACAATGAAGACAAGCATTATAAACAATTGAGCAACATTTCATAACAAAGCAAAAACAAATAAATAAAATAAAATAAAAAATATATAGAGAAAAGAAAAGTAAAATAAATAAATAAATAAACTGAGCTGTAAAGTAATTAAAATGTGATTGGTCTTAATATATATCAAATTACAGGGAGGCTGTGGCAGAGTGGTTAAGGGAGTCATCTGAACCGGAAGGTCGCCGGCTCGTTCCCCCGTCTAGCTGTCTCCCTTGTTGTGTCCTTGGGCAAAACACTTCACCGCAATGCCTCTGATGTGTGTCCCATCAGTGTATGAATGTGATTGGAACTGATTAGTCTCCATAGATGATTGTATTTATTAGCTTTATAGAAACCTAATAGAGTGCTGTGTGAATGGGTAAATGTAGTATGAAGCGCTTTGAGTGTCCTGGATGGATAGAAAAGTGCTATATAAGTACAGTCCATTTACCATTTACGAGTATTTGAGGATTGGTAATTAATAAATATAGGGTAATGTACACAAAATTTATTGACTAAATAAAAAAATTTAATTAAAATGAATGAATAAATGAATAAAAGTAAAAAAATGAATCAGCTGGTTAAAGGGGCAAGTAAAAAAATAGGGATGTATAAATCAAAAGCAAGAAAAAAGTTCATAAGAATCTATTAAATGCAAAACATAAAACAAAAACTTGAGAAATAATGTAAATATGTTGTATAAAGATTATACAGTATCAATAAATTACAAAAGGGGGGGATTAATAAAAAATAATAAATTTTTAAAAAAGAAATAAATCAACTTCAAAGCAGCAGGTAAATAAATAGACATATATAGATAAAAAGAAAAGATAATAAGAATCCAAAAAATGCATAACTGTAATATAAATAAATAAAAAAGTTAATAATAAAAAATCATGTATGTAAATATAAGTTCATAACATTAATGAAAAATAAATCTATTTATAATTAAATAAAAATAATAGCAATAGCACCACACACACAGAGATCCACCACACCAGCAAAACCTGTCCTAAAACGTTGGATGTTCATATTTTCTTTGCAAAACTAGCTTCATAATGACCTATACTAGTTTATTAGCAAAAAGTTAAGTTTATCATAGATGTACTGTAGCTGAATGAGATATGTAACCAAGCTGAAACATCTTGAGACCAACTCAATGCCATGGACATCCAGCCCAGCACTGGATGCCACTCCCAGCACTAACGGTTCACGCTCAACACAGTGTTAGCGAAAGATTTTTTCACCTGACAACGACTCTTAATGTTCTCTTCAGTACAGAATTAGCATATTACATGTACCAACATAAACACAGGAGACGTACAGGTTCAGCCAAGTGGAAAAAAATCACTCCAAAGTGGATTAAAGCCATAAAAACAAAGGAACGACGTTCGTGTTTATGGTTCCAGAATTTAGCCTTTTTTGCTATTCCGTGGCTGCTTGTTCCGTGAATTTTTCAGGTAGAGCTGTGACACTAAGAGAAGAGTCTGGGCTTTAAATTAATGGTCTACTTGTATGGTTTGGATTGTTTTCCTCAACGTTAATGAACTGAAAACGTAATGATTATCAGGCGGAGGTTCTGCTGCTCTCAGTGCTCAGGGGGAGGGGGGAGGGGCGCGCTCGTCACTCGGCTTTAGTCTACACTGTAACGTACACTCTAACAAGTTTTTACTTTTGCATAAAACTCATGACAAAGTCTCATAAAAACATTTCCTATAACACAAACTCACACACACACACACACACACACACACACACACACACACTACCTACCTACCTACCTACCTACCTACCTACCTACCTACCTACCTACCTACC